AGAAGGCACCACACATAATTTTAATTCTTGCCAGGAAACTTATATTAATTTTATATTGGCTTTTAACATGCCTCAAACCAAAACTTATCATAACGACTACAAATGACTTTAATGTGATTTAAAGTTATTTGTGGTCGTTATAAGTTTTGGTTTGAGGTATGTTAATAGCCAATAAAAAAATTAATATAGTTATCCAAACAAGATGCAATTTATATTAGAAAAGTTATGTGAATCATTGATGAATAAAATTGCAACCCAATAAAAAAACTTAAAAGTCTTATTATTAGGTTGCAATTTGAAAAAAATCATAGCTATAAATTCCCATTGTCATCTGTCAGTCTTTCCTTAATCTTGAGAACAGAGTTAGATATATGGAAGACGAGACCAGATATGGAAGCCTTAGGGGCAGGAGGTCCTGATTTACTATATACAAACTTCCAATGCAAACCAAAAGTCATGTTCAAAATTCCCCTGAAAGGTGACTGGATGGATGACTGTCACGATTCCATTGTTAAAGGGAAAGTATGATATACAGGGACAAGCCACTACTAATTTGAGGCGAAAAGCATATATTTTAAATTAAATATATGATTAAAAATTGAATCCCGGTATTGTTACGATGTCACAATAAACAATTTCTCTTGTTTCTACTGTTATGCACCAATTACTCTTGTTGTTTCTATACGGCAACGCAAGTTGCGGACGAACTACCGAGAGGGATGCCTCCCAGGAGACCATTCTAAGAGAAACTGGCTCTTATTTAGATGTAACAGATGTGAAGAAATCCCAGAAAACTTCATATGTCTAGCTTCGTTGATGAGGTGCGAATCCACGACCAACTATAAGTGTTTAGTGGTTTAACAAATTGCATAAGTATAGAAATAAATACCTCAAAACAAAAAAATTTTATTACAGTTTCGTTATAAGATGCATTGAAAAGTAATATATTATTATTNTTAGATTATGATAATTTTTCTCTTTTTCAAAAAGTATGTAAAAAATTTTGTATTGTGCCATCTTTTATGCAATTTTTTAAAATAATTTTTTTATATTGTTAAAAAGATAAAAGCCTTATTTTGGATGTAGAAGTGAGTTTTAAATAAGTTGTAAATGCCAATAATGAGTAAAATTTTCACTCTCTGTCCTACTCAAGATATGACACATGATCCCCTCTATCTCTCTCTTGACTTATAATCTCCAAAATTAAATAATATTAATATCCCATATATAAAAACAATCTTGCCTAGTTTCAAAATGTTTAGTTCATTCAGCCCTGAGATATAATGCAAAATAGATGCCAATACATACACAAACAATTTTGTTTGAGATTTTTTACAGTTTTGATCTCATGGAATCATTAATCTTATTCATTGGATAGTCATCATTTCCCCAGTTTTTGGATCAGAGAGTCATTCTTTTACTGTGTAAGCGTCAAAAGGAAAATGTTTCTTTAATTCAAAATATCAACACAGCATACATACATAAAACAAATAATCAAAAAAATAGAAATCATTACATAATTTTTGGCAAAATTTTTGTAAATAAACTTTCAAGACAACTTGTCACTTAATTAATGGAGTAGGGAAGCAGCTTACTTACCAAACCCTCATGACAATCTTTTGCAAAAAGGTCTTGAATTCAGTTTGGGGAGGTCTTAGTTTCTAATTAGGTGGTAGAGATTTGTGCTTGATGTGTTTTGATCCTCTTCTGTGAGAAGATGTTTAATAATTTCTGTGCAGTATCTGTTGCAATTATTTATTAGATGTTCTAGGCTTTTGTGGTGCCCACCATTGGCCAAGTGGTCTTTGTACCCTGAACACTGGGAGTTTGGTTGTGGTTCGCACCTTGCTCAGACAGGCTGGTCATGTGGAGTTTTCTGGGTTTTCTCCATGTCTGTAACGCCTAAATAGGGGCCAGTTTCCCTTAAAAAGGGTGATCTGCCTAACTCTGGGTGATCTGCCTAGGGGGGATATCTTCTGGGAGGTCTCCCAGAAGATATCCCCCCTAGGCAGATCACCCAAGTGTTGCATTGCCATAACATAATCTAAGCTTTGTGTGTTTTCTCCAAATTCACAGGCTATGTTAGTGATGCCACCTTTTCAAAGTCGCTGACCCAGATGGGAGGTCAGGTTTGTTCGAACAGAAGTTCCTGATGCATGCACAATGTCATTTTACAATGCGAAGAATAACCTGCATGCAAATCAATTACAGTGCACAGATAATTTAGCTCTATTTGAGATGTGTATGATCGTACATAAAAAAAAGAAAAAAAAGGTTGACAGGTTGCTCCACGCTACACGTCGGCATAAACAGACTAACATAGCAGAATTGTAGATGAGTTTCAGTGAGTGTGAGTTCTTTCGCCGTTAAAATAATATAAATTTGTAAAAATATTTGCAAGAACTTTGTTTCATCATAATTTCACAATTTCTACGAAATTCCCGGACAAAATTAATAGTTCACCCAGACAGTGAGTCAATTCCCAGACTGTCCAGGTGAAAACCGGACTGGTGGTAACACTAGGCTATGTTATGCTTTCTGCCTATTGTGAAATATTCATTGATATTACAATGACCAAATATATTTGGGTCCTTAGGAGGTGGTTCATGGAGTGTCAAAAAATTGAAAAATTCAAAAAGATTGAGGAGGGTCAAAATTTGATCAGTTACCATACTTTCCCTGTGTTTTTTATTCTACTAGCTTACCTGTCGTGCATTGCTGTGATCTCAGAAGAAACGAAATTCAAGCAAACTCGTTATGATAAAATTAAATTTACATTTTATCATTTTTATTGAAACTTATTATTATTCATTTTCATCGGGAAAACATTTCAAAGTGTCATTTCAATTCTATTTATTTATTGGAGTGCTTGTGGATACACAATATTTTTTGTTTTTCCGTCTGGTGCGTATATGAATAAATCAGAAGGTTTTCCGACGCGTGAGCCGGCCACGTACAGTTGTCCATGTGAGAAGCACGGATTCTCCAAATTTAGCCCATACACTTGCAGCGATTGTCAGAAGTGCGATATTCCCCATTTTTATATATATATTTTTAATTCTTTATAATTTTAACTATTTAATTGCTCCTTCCTCTCTTCCTTGGCATGTTGTGAAATTTCTGATAGTTGGATAATAAACCGTTTTATTGTAATTTGTCTTTTTAAATTATTTTGAGTTGATATTAAAATTTGGAAAAGGGGATCCCTAGATTGGTAAAATAGGTGAATTTCCTCCTACAACTTCGGTTGTTGTTTGGGGTACAGTTAAGGTTTTAACAAAGTTCAAGCGAATACATAATTAGCAAAAAAAAGTTGAAATAAAGTGATTAAACAAAAATTATTACAAATATCGTAAATAACAGTTCACAAATGCATATATAGAGATATATTTGGAGGGGGAAATGGTCTTCACAATTTGAAATCGATCGCGCACGCAGTGAAATGCATGTATACACGTGCGCCATCTATCGTAGGATAAATGTACTATGCCAGAAACCTTCGCAGGAGTGTATTAAAAAACTTCCCAAAGCTTCATGGCAATCGTACTATGCCAGAAACCTTCGCAGGAGTATATTAAACAACTTCCCAAAGTTTCATGGCAGTCGGATAAACGGTGTGGTGATGCATGAAGGACAGACGAACAGACAGACATACATTCATTTTTATATATATATATAGATAATAGCCAGGAAAGTAAAATGTAGAGCTCAATGCTGCCATTAAAGTATAATACTACTCCATATTATGGTGCCATCACTGCAAACTGGTGTCTTTTCACAATGTTCATGGGGCTGCATTGAGTTTTTCATTCTCTCTACATTCTAATCTAACAAGAATCATTCTGAAGACAATGACTAGACTCCTATATATGGATTGGATTAATTTGATTATTTTTTGGAAACAAATGTACAAAAATTTATATTTTTCATAATTTTCTTTAAAATAATCTGTTTTAATAAGTTTTTAGTTAATATTTGTTAGATTGTATTCATTGACAAAACAATGATAGATTGTAGGAATCCATGAAAAATTTTGAGAATTTATAGAATCCCCGTTCAAGATTACCATTTTGAGGATGCTTCGGAGTATGTACATATTACTTTCCGTACTGGATCATTAAAATTAAGGACTTTCCACCACTGCTTTAGCATCTTATACGTTTGTCCTGGAGGTGGCACTTGGTATGGACAAAGTTAACTTGTCTGGTTTGTATTTAAAATGAATGGAGTTATTAGAAACTTATAAATCCACTAGGAGAAATAATTGTACCAATGCATAGGATGAAGAGACCACAGCTAATGCTTGGAAATTGTTTGAGATCCTTTAACTTGAAAGGGCAATGATATCCTGTAAGACAGACATTGCATTTTTATTTCTATTTAGTTAACTTGTTATTGTCTCATATGTTTGACATTGTTTACTTAATTATATACTGTTCTATGAATGTTTAAATTTTTCATATGAATTTGTGAAAACTATTCTTTTGACATTTGTAATATTCCTAATTGTAACAAAATTAAGATCATTAAATATGGTAAAAAATGTTAGCAGTAAACTGATATGGTGTTGTGTGTTATTTATATAAATATTCATTCTTATTTCACACGAAGAAGAAAATAGTTATTTTTATGTGAAATTTAGTCATTAATTATACAAAATATTTTATAAGGATAAGGTTTTTTATATGAATAACTAATACTTTATCACTTAGTTTTGCTAGTATTACATGTTGTTATAATGAATGGTATAATAAAATTTCATCAGCAAATTATTATTATTATTTTTTTAAATAATTCATTAATATTCTCTAATCTTAAAATTTATAATTTGGAGGAAAACTTAAATTAACAAATTCTGTAAATATAATGAGGAAATAAATAAATTTGTAATAAACTTGGTTATTTATCAAATTAGAGGTTTGAATCTAGTGCTATAGCAATTATAATTTATATTATTGTCTTTCTAAACTAAAACAAATAAATAAATTTATATTTTTCAGATATAAAGTGTGTACATAAACCAAGAAAAATGTTTCTAACAGCATCAGAGATACCAAACTTAACGGCAGCAGAAAGACTAAAACCGACAGAAGCCAATCAACCAATGTTTGGCGTTGTCGACATAATGATATTAGTTAGTTTATTTGGTCTTGCAATCTATTGGATGTTTTTAAGAAAAAAGAAAACATCTGATATGGAATCTTTCAAAACTTTTTCTATTGAGTAAGTAAGAAATTTATGAATTATTAAATTTAGTAATTAAATAATTAATCTTGCTGAAAAAAAAATATTTAAGCTGTTCAAGTAAATAAAATTACAGTACTGTAAAAATAACTAAATTGTAGAATTGGCTATAATTAAATATGCTTTATAAAGTTGTACATTAACAATTTATAATTATAGCATATTGTTAATTTACAGAACATATATGATTATAATAATATAATTATTATAAACATATATATATATACAGCCATAAACACACACTGGTGACCAAATGAAAAGTTTACTTGCAAAGAATAGAATTAGCATATCATGAACTTGCTACATATCATTAGAAACATTTGAGTTTTAGACATTTATTTATTGCAGACTCTAGAGCAGGGCTTCTTAAACTATGGGTCGCGAGATTTTAATGCAAAATATTGAAAATAATTTGAGAGTTTGAAAATGGCACGCTGTGTCATAGGTTTCGTGAGTTGTGCTTTGTGTCAGTTCTGGTGCAGCGAGACAACGATTCAGCAACACTGTAGTGTGAACTAGTGTAGTGTTGTCTCTTTTCAGTGAATTCAGTTGTTTCTGTTCCATTGTAACACAAGAGTGAACTGTGGTAGTACACCATTATTGTTTTTGCAAATTTATATATATCTTTATTTTATATTTTTTGGGTCGTGAAATAAATAACAATCATAAATGGGGTCATGAGTAAAAAGTTTAAGAAGCCCTGCTCTAGAGCTAACATTCAAAACTGCTCACTGTTAAGTGAATATGTTTGTTGTAGTTGAATGTGTTGGAAAAAAAATATATTTATTGCATTTAATTATCTTGGTTACTCATACATATAAAAACAAAGAATTGAATTGAATACAATGATGTAAAGTGATTCACAATATATGGATTGACCATCAACACAATTGGAATGTCAGTTAAGTGTTGAAGGTCAAAGTAAGGATGATTACATCACAATTCAGTAGAGACAACCTTGTGTAAAATTTTACTGCAGTAGGAATTTCAAAGTTTTTGTGCCTATGATTTGTTATCTTAACATAAAAATTTTAACATCTTAACATTATTAATTGCAAAAAAATCAAATAAAAACTTTACAACTGCAAGTTTTTATTTGATCATCTTGTATAGATAATGACATAATTAAGTATCATTATAGTAAGTTAAACATTTTATATTTTTCTAGCATTTCCAATTTTCTAATTTTTTCCTCTAATTATAATTTTTTTTTAAAAATAATTTAGACAAGTAACCATTCCAGATATACATTCATTACAAATTTCTAACTTATGTAAATATTATGTTCACAAACTTTAAATTGGAGTGTATTGCTTTATGTATTGTTTGTTAATATATGTGTAATTAAGAGAGTAATTTGAAAATACAGTAGAGTATCGATTATCCGACTCAATTGGGGACTGGTGTTGGTCAGATAACTGAAAAAACAGATAACCAAAAAATATGAAAAAATACATTATTAGTATAGTATATTAGTATATCTCATGTAATTAGTATATTAGTATATCGCTATTAATCTACTTTGCATTGAATTTTCATTGATGTTAAGCCTAACAAGATTTTTTTAAAAATAATAATCGTTGCTATTGTATCATTAAAAATTAGAAAATTAAGCCTCGTTTAAATACTGGTCCCTTTCATGGTCGAGCCAGTGTTGCCAGCAAAAACACGTAAAAGTACTATTAAAGTAGCCAAGACATAGCCAAATATTGTAGTGCCACATCACTAGCGGGCATTTGTATTTGCCGACTAGAACTGTCTGTTAACCGATGTGACGGTTAATCGGGGGTCGGATAATCGATGCTCTACTGTATTCAAGAGAAACGAATACTACAATAAATTGAGATTTATTATTTAAACTAAAGATTATCAATACACTTAAATATAGCAATATACAGTATATATATATTTCTCCCAATATTGTGCACATTTTTGTTGTTACTTTTTAGAAATTTTAAAAACACATAACAGTATTTGAAGAAAATGGTGGTGAAATACTACACTAGTATTAATCTGCTGTAGTAGTCTCAAACATCTATTTTTTCTTTGGCTTTGTGTCAGTGCTAAGTGGTTATAGGATAATGATATAAATTTAATTCTGAGATATATTTTTTGTTCAGATCTTCTTTCCTTTGAATGGCTATGCAGTTTATATTTATAATTAGTCATTTATTTTGGAAACAGTGTGTACAGTATTTGATGTAAACTGTTGCCTTTGTTGGTAAAACACCCCTATGATAGGTTCCAAAGTAGGGTTACTCACCATTCTCATGCTTCTGTCAGGATGATGTGAGAGGATAGAGATGTAAGGAGGTATGTATGGTGGCAGACACAGAGACATACACAAATGTACAATTATAATCATGTTTATTTTTAAGGAAAAATTATTACAATTAGTAGAAGACTTACACTCAAAATGGGCGGGAGTTCAGGTGGGAGACAATGTGAGGATATAGATTGTTGATCTTATCACTCTTGTTGGCAGAATGAGATGAAGATGCTCTTGTCTTAGGGGTAGGATGTGTGAGTTTGGGTGATTGTCAGGCCCTTGATGGTTGATAAAATGGCACTGGGTGGTCTGGCCAAAAAAGCATGGGAGTTTATTGGAGAAGGTAAATCTCTCTTCCTAGTCGGATCAGCAGATGTTCGTGACGAGTCAATAATGACATGATCTTATATGAAGATGATGATGATGACCTCAGAGGTTCTCAATGTCAATGAACACACTTTACAATTGCAGCAACTCACCCAGAGGCTCTTGGCAGAAACAAACACACTTTGCAATGGCAGTGATTCACCCTGACTTTGAGGGTGAGTCGCCACCCTTGAAATTAGTGATTTGGATTGATCACGATCTTCCTTTTTCATTCATTGGCTCCCTCTATGTCGCTAGGGTAGGGACCAAGTTTTGGTCAGAAGGAATGGGTGTCATCCTCACTCTCAAGTTAGGGCTATCAATTCCTCAGTATTCACTTATGAACCTCCTGGGGTGATAACCCGTAATTAAGGAAAGAGCAAACTCTCTCAGGTGATGGCCATAATCAGGGAAGTGAGGTGTTTTATCACTTGAAAGTCGGAACATTGGACTGATTATCTAATTGTCATGTAAAGTGCTTCCCTCATCTTTCTTTTGTATATTTAAAGTGGAAATTGCCTGTTTTATGAATCTCAACTTTTTCATCGATCACTTTTCCAGCTCAATCTCTCACCGTCACACAGTCTCTCCCACTTCAGGTTTGACAAATGCATTATCTTTTACAACTGTTTTCAAAGATCATGAAAAAGGAAAGATAAAAACATAAACAAGTGAGGGGTTTCGGACTTCTCATTGATTTAGGAGAAAAAAAAGGAGAATTAAAGTAGTTTTAACATAAATAAGTTAATAAAAATCTTATTGACAGTTGAAACTTTGCCAATTGAAAGCAGTTATGAATGCATCAACAGTTTTGCTGTCAAATCACGTCTTGTAAATGTGAATTTGGAAATAATTAGTATGAAAACTTGCTAGGCTATAACGAATCACAATATTTTTCACACACACTACTTATATGTTGTAACTATTTCAAAACCTATCTTGTAGCACAACTGATAAGTAAATGTATATAAAGAAACTTAGAATGAATAGTTAATGTAACTATATTTCTATTTCATATAAATTCTCAATAATTAAGTAATATTAATTTCATATTTATGATCATTTTTGATGATTTGATTATTTTTGTTAGTGGTGTAAGTCCAATTATGTTCAATAGTGATATTATTTCTACCAGTAATGTAATCTTGAAAGTTTTTAAATAGCTATTTTCAATCAAAAAACATTATTATACTAATACCTACCAGTATTTTTGAGAACATTCAAATGCAAACTATAATACAAAATGTCCTTAGTCTTTGGGCACCTTAAAACTTTAATTATGTAAATTCTATTCTACCCAATAAAAACATCCGTACATTGCACTAGATAGATAATTTGTTACTAAGAGTGATAAATTATGTTCATAGAAAATTTGTTAACATGAGGAATTCTTCTACTTCCCATCAAATGTGAGCAAGATGCTGGATTTCATTGCAGTAGCAATTGTTATCATCCACATTTTAAAACAACACAACTATAACTAGGTTATCAGCTCCAACTGTACATCTCACTTTTTCTACTTTTTATCTATTAAAAAAAATAAATAAGTAAAATCAGCACAAGTTTAAAAATTTTTAAGCTTGATAGTCTAAAGATTTTTTCCCACACTTTCTGCCATGTGGGCACTAAGGAAACCATTTTAATCATATCCATCCTGGGTTTGGCCAGGACCACAATGGAGGCATTTGAATGGCGAGGGACTGGGCTCAATGCATCTGGAATAAACTGTCCCCTAAAAAATTCCCTGGATTGCCTTCAGGATTTGATCCTGGTTCTCCCAGAGTGATAGGCTGACATCTTAATCACCTCGGCATCCAGTGTCCCTTCCTGCAATGTTATATTAAATGTTTTTTTAAAAAAATGGAATCAAAAATTTAATTTTATTCTGAATAAAATTTTATTGAATCCTTCAGGACAAATTTAAGTAAATAGATTTTTAGACTGATTTTCAATAATTAACAATTCAACAAATAATTTTGTTAAGTATTGACACAGCATTTGTAATCAAAAATTATATCTGTAAATAGAGAAATCACTGAATATATCTACACAATTTGTGTAATGATTAATTATCAAGATTACTCTCTGCTGCAATGTATGAATTAATAATAATGTTTAGGTACTGTAATAGCTCTTAATATTGAGCCTTGACCTGCATTTTGTATGTTCCCCAAAATATTACTTAGCAATTTGCATGAATTTTTGTTAAAATTATTTAATGACCTGTTGCTATTTCTTTGTATATATCCAGAATAAGATGGAAAAGATTCCAAATATGTTTTTCTCTTATATGACCGTTTAAAAACATTAAAACAGAGTTCTTGAATGTCTTTTATTCTTTTTCAATTAGTTTAATGACTAAATGTGGATAAGCAATAAACTACAAAAACTACATAAAAACAAATGTTTTCATTTATGTTGAACAGTCATTGTCAGGCTAAAGGAAAACAATTTACAATACTTTTAGCCTGATGATATGTTCAATATGATTTATTGCTTATGTGATGATATTGGTTTAATGTTTAGTGCTTAATTAAATATATGCAATTTGAATAGATGGATTAAATTGAAACATTTACTTAAATATGGATCTGGAATTCTTTCTTCTGTGCAATAATCTTACAATATCTATACAAAATATTAAGATGACTAAATGCATAGAAGTACAAAATATTAGCAATAAGTTCCTACATTGTTCAATTTTTATTTATTTTAGAAGACTTCAACTTCTTCCAGCTTGGCTGAATTATTCTCACCAAATAGCAGGTTGACTAGATTCACGTTATTAACATTGTTTTTTTTTCTTAATAGTAATTGTGTAACAATAGCAGTTAAATCTGAATTATAATTTTGTGAAATGTAAAATATCAATTATTTTCAGACCAACGATGATGAGAATGGACGAATCAAGTTTCATTAGCAAAATGAAATCTTCAGTAAGTTTGTTTATTTATAAACTTTCCTTGATGAGTTTATCCAATTTCATGAATATTAATCATTATGCATTAATTAATTTTCATAGTCATAATGTTACATAAATTTCATTTTCTTTCAGTATTCTTATAGCTCTTCACTTTATTATGTCAGATCTTTATAGACAAGACTTATAAATGTTTACCTAGTTAATATACAGTATAAGCTCTTGCCATTTATTGGTACAGGTATACCTCGAGTTATGTCGTTTGTAAAAAAATATATGGAAAAATAAAAATCAAGTTTAAATCATTTTATTCAACTTTACGTCCATCCACCACAAATATTGAAGTCATAATATCATTAGAAAAGCATTAAAGCACATAAAATCATATTAAAATATATACATTTACAGTAAATGTTAATATAATCAACATATATCCTAGAGAACGAAACATGAAAACATCTGTGTTTCTGTGTTGTCGTCTTATTTAACAGTCTTTAAGTGCTCAGTATTGGTGTTTTCCACGGTAGCTCCAATATCTACCGTTTGGCGTCGTTGTCAACACCACTCGATATTGGTAAATTTAATATAAGTTAGTTTATTTTCTACTGTCGCAAGATAATTTTAATAACTGTATTTGTTATTTAACCTTACAAAATCATCTTATTTTATAATGTATTAGAACAAACCACATTCACTAATAAAGAGTCCGTGATGTACTGTAAACATCGCCAAATTGTAAACATGTACATTTAAAGTATGTACTGTACGTACTGTAAATGAATTCGTAAATTTAGATTACTTTTTTCTGTACTATATTAAAAACTAAAATTTATTTTTTTGTAAGCTTAAAATTGATTCTTATTAACCATGTATTATCAAAAATGCATATATAAATACAGTAGACCCTCTATAACGCGTAGATATGTTCCACGTTGTAGGAATCCTTAAATACAGAGCCAATCGCAGCCCGACACGTGTGAAGTTTATGGACTACAGCTGTTTCAAAGGTTTTCTTCCATAAAATTAATCGATTCTAGACTAATTCGACTTAACATTTCCAAAATACGTATAATTTTTTGGGAATAATCCATATAAACTATGCTATAAACAAAAAAATTGTAGGATTACTTACCGAGTGTGCACCGTTCGACGTCGCCATTGTTTAAGCTTGTGTTCGTCACGGAGCAGCGCACCAATCAGCGGCCGCGATTTCTGATGTTATTTTTCTGCAAAAAGTTTGTTGAACTTTGAAGACATCATTAATAGAAATAATTTTTATGGCCGTTGAATAAGAAATGTTTCTTTCACAAGAAATGTATAAAATTAGTGCTGTATTAGACTTACGGTGCCTAATTTACATACTGTACAGACGATAGTAACTCAACTTACTTGCCTAAACTCTCCGTAGTGTGGCGCTGGACGGCGAAAAGTATATATATAATTATAATAAAGTTACAATAAATTAAGTTAATATATAATTATATATACAGTACCTAATTTATATATAATTAATACATAATTATATGTACAGTACCTAATTTATATATAATACTGTACAGACGATAGCAAACTCAATTTATCCGCCTAAATTTTCTGTAGTGTGGCGCTGGATGGCGGAAAGTAGTTCGGCTGCTCGTCCGCGATAACAAGTTGGCGATGACATTTACCGCGTTTTACGCGTCCCTTTTAGCGTCTTTATACAAATACTGTCACAATTTTTTTGCTGCATTATAGGAATCTACGTTATAGGAACCCACGTTATAGGGGGTCTACTGTAAAATACAGAACTGAGAATGGTTATTTGTGGTTTAGCCTAGTATCAACACACTTACTAAAACACCTTTTCTTGCAGCCGACGCTTTATTATAACAATTATAACAACTTTCAAACGTTTTCGGTCTTGTTAAAAGAACTTTCTCAAGAAAATAAAATTAACTAAGTAACAAAATAAACACCACAATCGTAAATCGAACGCTTAGTTTAGCCTAGTGACAAGTAAATTTGGAAACAGGTAAATTCGACTTACATCATTTTTTGACTTAAGTCGCCTCTCCTGGAACCAATTACTGACATAAGGCGAGGTATACCTGTATTATTCAAATAATTTAACTTATTTGTTGGAAAATATCTTTGCTAAATTTAATCTGCAGAAAGGATATACAGGAATATGTATAGGTATATCTTATATGAATAGTAGATTATATAATATAATGTTTAAGTCATGATGTTTGTTTAATGGCATAGTTCTCAGAATGCATTCCCTTCATTAAATGACACACATACATATTGTCAAAAATTTAAATGTTTTAACAAAATAACAATTTAAACAAATAGTTACATAATTGACAATCACTTGACACAAACAAGGCACAGACCTCTTTTGCCCTTTCTTTGTATGTTATATTAATGAGTTTAAAAAACAATAAAGTCCTTAAAAAATTGTGGTTATAGTGTGTTGAAACTAACAGAATTTAGGTATATTTATTTGAAATATTAATTGTTATTACAGTATTAATATATCATATATATTTTTGATTAAAATATATTTGGGTTTGCCATTAAGATGCTTTATATAGAATTATTAGCCTTGAATAAACAAAGGAAAGATGCATTTTAAATAATAAACATATGGTTTGTTAGGCCAGTGATATTCAAACTGTGGTTTGCAAACAGTTTATTATTATACTGTGACAATATTTCACTTAAAATTTCAGTTTTATGTATTATGTTTATAAAAACTATTTAAAAACATCCTTTAAAATATTTGCATAATTTTTGTCTTTCTCTATAATTTAAATGCTTAGTGTTAGGTAGACTGGTAATAAAAATTAAAAATTTGCCCAGGCAGTTATTTGAAGACTGCCCACAAATCCATTTTTTAAAAATTTCCAGATTTTGAAACCAAGTTTTTTTGTTGTAATTTTTGTACTAACTTGGTCTAAAAGTTCAATTTAAAAAAATCATTATAGCACCATTTAAAATAATCCATTTTATAACCAATTCAATTTAATTTCACGAAATTAGTCCTTGAGGGATTGGAATGAAAAAAAACTGTTCCATGAACACAAAGTTTGAGAAGCACTGCATTAGTAATAGTTTCCTTTACTTAAAACAAAATAAACAAACTGAATTTAAACATATCAAATTTATTAATTATTAATTTTATAAATTTAACATACAGTATTAAAAAAAACTTTTTAAACATGCATGTATTTGTCTGTAGTCGTTTTTTCACTTCCTGTTCTTTATATATAACCATGCTAATTCAAATAATCTTGTGTGATAATCACAGTAGTTCAGAATAGTAAGAGTGTACTGTATTTTAATTTTTCACTAGTAAATTATTCTCTGCATATTAATATCTAATTTTTCTTCTAGGGTCGTAACATTGTGGTATTTTATGGATCTCAGACTGGAACAGCAGAAGAATTTGCTGCCCGTCTGGCAAAAGAAGCACATCGCTACGGAATGAAAGCTATGGTAGCCGATCCTGAAGAATGTGATATGGTTAGTTGCAAAATGTTTTATTATATATGTAATAAAATTATAACATTTATTAACAGCAAATTTTAACAATTCAGTTAGATTTCAGTTCAAAATTCTTTTTTAATACTACTCTATGATTCCTAGAAATAATTTACATCTTAAAGATTACTGATTTATGACTTAAAGCTATTACAGTGACTTTTAAGCTGAAGCAAAAAGTAAAAGAAGTGAGGAATTATGAAAAGCAGCAGTTTATAAGCAGATTCTAATGCACATACATATATAGAATACAATTAACATTTCTAGAAATTGTACATTAGTAATAATGTTATGTTTTGTGAAACTGCTTATCAGAATTACTATATCCTAAGTATATTTTAATTTAGTTTAGTTTTGATTGTTATCAAATATCATCTTCAGGTAAATAATGCAAAAGTCAGCTTACATATGCTATTAGCCTGAACACATGGCTTAGGAGTTACAAGTTCACTGACCTTATTACTGGTAAAACAGTGAATTTTTAAAATTTTATCAGTTTACAAGAAATTACCAGCAATTTTTAAATTTTGACCCCAAATGTAAAAATTAGTGCCACTAGTTGCCAACTCAATTATTAGTCAGCAACTAAACTATCTTTAGTGCCAATTGAATTCTTTTTTTTTCTGTTTTGAAAAAAAGAGAATTCAATTGCTATCACTCAAAAAATAGAGCTTCCTGTTATTTTTTAATTGCCACAAGTAAAAAAACAGCATGAGTGCACATCCAGATAAATGTATCCCATTTTGTCAACTAGAATTACGATTGAACTTTGGCAATTTGTTTCTTAACCCATAATGTATAAACTATCCAGCATAATGCCGTAATATGATACTTCAAAAGTTGTAAAGAACTGTAAAAAAGTGATTTAAAAGATAAATGACAAACTATTTTTATGGTTTAAATAAAATCATTTGATGCTTATGCCTTTTATATATAAAAATATATAAGTGTATACAAATTAATATTAGGTAAGTACATAATTTTTGAAGCTAATCTATTTTTTACTGAATTTACCAGTAAAAAATATCAAATTACCAATATATTTACCAATTTCTTTTTTTTAAACCTGATTGATTATCATAATGCATTCCCTAATGTGGCTGATAATGCACAATCATAATTAGTCATAACAATTAAATTTTAACTTTCAGAGCACTCATTGTTTGCTTGCAATATAGTAGTTTTAAGTGAAATAAGTAATTTTAATTCTAATGAATTACTATTAATTAAGAAATGCATAACTTGAAGATTTATTCATTGTTTTAATGTGACTTTTAATGTCACAATGAACAAAACCAGAATTTTCACTAATTGTGGCCTTTATTTATTCACTCCAATTATTATCACTCTGTCAGTCATCATCAGTATAAGCAAGTCCCAAAGCAATCAAATAAGTGGATTATATATATTATGTATATACATATACATAGCAGGAAGGTTTTATTTGAAGATGTTTTCTGCACAAAAGTATAAAAAAATTTTTCTTAAATTAATAATAGTTTTTACATTCTAATAAATATTAGGATGTTAAAAATTAGAAAAATTTATCATCATATTGTCAATTAATTTGAAATCATCTTAAAGTAATACATTGTCATAATTAATTAATATACCGTACATTCAATAAATTTCTCTATAACAAAGTAGAATTCTAAATACTTCTGTGCATCTGAGATATAATTCTATAGCTTTCCAAAACCATGAAAATAATTAACTATGTTCTTATTTTCAGACTGTTTCATCCAGTTTAATTTATTTTACTTCTAATAATTTAACATTTTTATATTTTACAGGAAGACTTAACAAAATTGTCAGATATTGAAAATTCTCTTGCTATATTTTGTATGGCAACTTATGGAGAAGGGGATCCTACAGATAATGCCCAAGAATTTTATCAATGGCTACAAACTGGAGATGCAGATTTATCGGGCATTCGTTATGCGGTTAATATTTAAATTATACTAATTGAATTTTTACTGTCAAGACCATTGTCTAAATTACAAATTTATAAATAGGTATTTGGACTTGGTAACAAAACTTACGAACATTACAATTCCATGGGAATTTATGTTGATCACAGATTTGAAGAACTGGGAGCCACCAGAGTGGTCGATCTAGGACTGGGTGACGATGATGCCAAGTAAATAGCCATATAATTATAATATGAGTAAATTAAAAGGTGTACATTTATAATTAAAAAATATTATTTCAGTATTGAAGAAGATTTCATTACTTGGAAAGAAAAATTCTGGACAGGAGTTTGTGAATACTTCCATATTGAAAAAACTGGTGATGATACTACTCTAAGACAGTATGAACTTATTGTTCATGATGATTTGCCTAAAGAGAAAATCTTTCATGGTGAAATTACTAGGCTGGGGTCATTCAATATTCAAAAACCGTAAGTATTTAAGATGTCTTTATAAAACAATATGATGATAAAGGGATACAGTAGAACCTCAAACTCAGCCTAATGTGGACCGAAGGATGGCCGAGTTTGTGAAAATGCCGGGTTATCGGGAATGGGGTTAAAAAAAATAAGTATGAGTGTTTCCTCAGAAAATACTGTACTGTACTTGTATTGTTTACTTGAGAATATAACAGAGAATAAACTGCCCAAATACCCTTAAACAAAGGAAAAGTACGTCCTTTATGAAGGCATAGAGCCTTTACTACATGAAAATGAAAATTAATGAATACACTGTGTACAGTAATTTACCTGATAAGACAGACCTCAGAAAAATACTTTTATAAAGCTGTCTATAATGAAAATTAATTAACTAAAGATTTTTTTGCCCTGCCAGGGTGTGGCCGGGTTATCCGGACTGCCGGGTTATTGAGAGCCGAGTTTTCGAGGTTCTACTGTATTATGTTTCAGAATTATAAATGTACTGTACATAAGTCATATTAGGAGTACTTTGAATGTATATTTTTTTTTTTTTTGTTTAGAATATAAACTTGATTAGAAGATGAGTCTTGCTAAATACACAGTTCATAATAGTATTGTATGTTTACTATAATTCTTAGTTACTATACAAAATTTAGATGAAAACATTGCTCCAGACTATATTTTGCTTCTGCTACATATTAGCTAACTACAAATGCATGAGAGTATAGGTAATTGATAGTGGGCTATTCAATGTCATAGTCATCAGCTCCTCCATAGGGCCAAATCCCATTTCAATTCTAAGCTATAGTGGCACAGTTTAAATTTACAACTTTCATAGGAGCCAAGATAGGATTTGGCCCAACAAAAGAGGAGTTGGGATGCATTTAAGACTTCTGTAAAGCAATTACAATACTTATAGATAATGTTAAATTAATTTACTCAAAATCTAACAAGTATATGATCTAGTTTTAAGGCACTACAATTGATAGTGAATATAGTGATTTCCAGTTACATGGAGTTTGGTCTCTGCAGTATGCATAGCACTACTTTTCTTTAACATTTCAGATAATTGAGTTTCCACTGTAATTTTTTCAATTCTAAGACACAGAATTCAATTTCAAATTCATAGTAAGATTTTTTTTTAAATGGGGAAATTTTTAAGTAATCAATTTTATTAAGTTTGTATTATTTCTCTAATTTGTTACTTACAAATACCATGAAACAGGTAATATTTGTTATGTGCAGAAAAGCATGGAAACAAGCTGTCGATAATTTATTTTAACGCTGCATCATAATGTTGTCTCAAAGACCTTTGGAATTAAATACTCATAACCAAGAAAGATGCATCTCTGTTTTGGACAAGTAAAAATGGGTTAAAAAAAAGATTTTATAATGAAATATGGTATATGTTAACTCAGAATTTTAGTAACTAGAGATTAAAATGATTTAATAATATTTATGGCTACTTAAGTTGCCATCATCAGGTTCAGAACATGAATTTCATTCTATTTGAATCTTATATTACAAAACCTGATAGTTAACCAACCAAATTGCCAATTATTGTGTAAATTAATGATTTTTCAACTTAATATTACAAGCAGAAGTTACATGTAAAAATCCATAGAAACTTAGTTTAATTTTTAATTGATTTCTTTCCATATGTATTTCAGCTCAGTTTGTAAATAAATTTTCTTTTAACTAAATATTGTATGTAAATATTTTGCAGGCCATTTGATGCTAAAAATCCTTATTTGTCTACTGTAACTGTTAACAGAGAATTGTATAAAGGAGATAGATCATGTATGCATATTGAACTTGATATAGGTGATGGAAAATTCAGGTAATAAAGTCAAATAATGATTAATTATTGTCATTCTTTAAAACAAAATAATAATAATAATAATCATCTTATATTTTGCTATTTATAGGTATGATGCAGGTGACCATGTTGCAGTATATCCAACTAATGATCCATCCTTGGTAGAAAAACTTGGAAATCTGTTAGATGTAGATCTGAATACAATTATTACTTTAAAAAATTTAGATGGTAAGTTAATTTTTAAAATTTACACATTTTTACATTTTCATGGATTGAAATTTACAAATAAGCTTATATAAAATATTTCTTTTATATAAATAATTTTAGTATGTAGATAAATAATGATAAATATCATTAAGTTAATTGATTACTGTTAAAATGATTTGGAAAAATACCAAATATTCTTAAATTTTATAATGATGTTTCTGCTAATCTAAGAACAGGTAATTTCAACATTTATAAGTCAATAAAGTACGATAATAAAGGTTTGTGATTAATTTGAAATACATATTTTTTTGTGAAAATTCTTTTATTTTTTCATCCCTATATAATCTTTGAATATATTTTAGTATAGTATATTCCTACTAATTCCAACTGATTCATTAATACAGTAGAGTGTCGTTTATCTGAAAGAATTCCAGTTGGCAAATTTAAATTTTTGCTAGTGGTGTGGCACTGCAATCTTTGGCTATGTCTTGGGCTACTCAAATATTTTACGTTTTTGATACTAAATTAACTTCTGAAGTATAATTTTTATTGTTTTTATATTTTTCAATATCTTTATTTTGTACAAACAAAATAAATAATTTTTAACGATACAATAGCCACGATTATTAATTTAAAAAGTTTACGTTAGGCTTAACATCGACGAAAATTCAACGCGAAGCGACATGCAATGGAGAAAAATTTCAGGATGGGATAGGTTAATATATTTTTTCGTACATAATCGGTTATCCGAAAAATAAGTTATCCGAACAACCCCAGTCCCCAATTGATTCGGATAAACGACGCTCTACTGTATTGTCTTTAGTTAGAATGTAACTTGTTATGCCAGATTTATATTGGGAGGTTGTCCTCTGTGTAGTTTTCCATTGTATACAATTATGATCCAATTGTAGGATTCTCAGAAAAGTAATGCCCTACTATCCCTGCCACAATGACTGTGTATCCTCTCCAAACTTGAAGATAATGTAATGTATTCATGAGATTTTGCTGCAGTCAGTCAGTCTAAATTAATATTTTTCCGCTATTAATCAGAAATTTTTGTAGTTTTATATAAAACTAGCTGTTATCCTTTGCCCGCATGGATTTTGCAATTTGATAGTGAAGTACCGAGGGAGGGTTATTTCTAAGATTCTCAATCATTAATTGTTACTAATTTGGTAAAATTACTGATTTTTGTTTGTTTCAAACTATGGACTGCTAATGCACCTAAATTCAAATTTCAAATATTATGAGATTCGATAAATCTGAGTTCAATTTTTTTTTTTCAAAACATAAATGATGTTATTTGAAAATTCCTAAAGTATAAATATTTACTGAAAAATAGAGTTTCAGATATCCCAGTACCTCTTTGTAAACCACATTTGTGGTACTGCCTTTCAGGGCTAAGACTTTTTAAACCTTAATCCTCTTCCCCCACAGGGGAATTCTCAAAAATTCCTTCTTAGTGTACTCTCTCATTGTGTACCCTACTAAAACAAGGTTAAAAACAAAAAATCGCATCTAAAATAGTACAGTAGAAACCGTTCTTCAGGTTAAGCCTTAATCCTCCCACGGGGAAATTTTGAAAACTCCCTTCTTAGTGTGCATTTTCATACATACCGTGTACCAAATTTCACCTCTTTAGGTTCAGCAGTTTGCTCTGGGTGATGATGAATCAGTCAGTCAGTCAGGACATGTAATTTTATATATATAGATATAGTTTAATTTTTATGCTTATATTGTTTATTCAATTTAGTTTAATAGAATTGTCATTTCAGAGGATAGCAGTAAGAAGCATCCATTTCCTTGCCCATGTTCTTATCGAACAGCTCTTCTCCATTATGTGGACATAACAAGTATCCCACGTACTCACGTCCTAAAAGAAATTGCAGATTATGCCAGTGACGAAGAGGAAAAGAAAAAATTGAAACTTATGGGATCATCATCAGAACAAGGAAAGGTAGTAACTCATATTTTGTATCTTATGCCCTTCAGATTTGCTAAATAAATAATAAATTCAAACAGAATTGAAAATAGTAGTCTTAGCCATATCTGTTGGCTCCATTATTTTCAGAGATCAACAGAAATGAAAACTGGGTATTTATTTTATTTAATAATGTTTTTGTATTCACAATCAAGAGTTAAAAGTTAACCAATAAACAAACATTTATATCTACTCAATTTGGTCATCACTGAAGTAAGCCATAGGTAGGTGGGCCACAAATATTTTGTACATTCCACACATAATAAATGGGCTTACTAAAAGTAAGTGATATGTCAAATCTATTCATGGGACAGATCTGGGATAGGGGCCATATACTGCTTTTAGGTATGTCAGTGGTATCCAAAGTGGTTTGTGTATCCAAAGTGGTGTATTGGTTAACTTCTAATTCCAATTTTTGATTCTTTGGTTAAAAAAAAGAGAGAAAAAATTCTGTGGGTGTGTTCATTTGTTGGTGTATATTTTGTTTAATATCTCATGATGAGATAAAGATTAAGAAACAACATTTGGCACACATTAATTGGGTATAAAGAGCATTGATACTATTAAATTGAATATGGTTGTGGATAGTTTATTTAATAATAGTCAAAATAACAGTATATAGTAGATTTATTATAGAAAGTAAATGCTTTATGGTCCCAAATGGAATTAAAAGTCTTTAACACATCAGATTTCAAGAATTCACGTGATTTGTTGAACATTTCTTTTCTGTCTGGAATTTGGATGAGTGTATAATATTATTATTTTAGATAAATAATAACTTTGAAAATATTTAGATTTATGCACTTAAATATACAATTAATTTTTTAAATATTTTTTGATAGCAATAATATATATTTTAAACATTTTATTAAATATTCATTTGATAATGTTTAATTATTTAAATTTTTCCAGACATTATACTTAGACTGGGTAGTTAAAAATTGCAGAAGTATAATTCATATTTTGGAAGACATGCCTTCCGTTCGTCCTCCTCTAGATCATGTGTTAGAATTGCTTCCACGATTACAAGCTCGTTACTATTCTATTTCTTCTTCACCAAAAGTAAGTTTCTTTTCATATCTTCCAGTAAACATTTTATGTTTAATAATGATGATGTCATTTTCATTTCTAGGTCCATCCCAATTCAATACACATTACTGCTGTACTTGTAGAATATACTACGCCAACTGGACGTCAGAACAGAGGAGTTGCAACTCGATGGTTGAAAACTAAAGTCATAGATAATGGCTTGGTAGAAAAAGTACCTATTTATGTTAGACGGTCTCAGTTTCGTCTTCCCTCTAATCCTAAAGTTCCTATTATTATGATTGGACCTGGTACTGGTTTAGCACCATTCCGTGGATTTATCCAAGAAAGAAGTCAGGCAAAAAAAGAAGGTTTGACAATTTTGACACAGACAATTCAAATTGTTAACTGACCACATTTTAACACAATAAAATATTTTTAGGTAAACCAGTAGGAGAAACAATTTTATATTTTGGATGCAGAAAAAAGTCAGAAGATTTTCTATATGAAGAAGAATTAATAAATTATAAAAATGATGGAACATTAACAAAACTTTATCTTGCATTTTCGCGTGACCAACCACAGAAGGTATACGTCACCCACCTTCTTCGAGAAAATAAGGAAGAAGTTTGGAACATCATAGGTGAAAAGAATGGCCATTTGTATGTTTGTGGGTATGTATATTTTGAAGTTATACTTGTACTATTGGATTGAAATCTTTACCTTCAATTTCTAATTTTATTGGTTATACAAATAAATTGCAGTTTTATGAAAAACAAAAAGTTCTATTTATTTCTAGTAACAATAAACCAATCAAAAGTGAGCTGCATAAGTTAATGAAATTTAATTTTCAATATATCAGGAATAAGCACCTCAATTTTCTATTTAATAGTAATAAAAAAGCAGTTTACAGTGTAACTAGGTGCATTGCCTAGTAAAGCAAATTTAATACAGCTGGATAAGTAAACCTGTTTCAAGCAAAAATGGGCTACTGTAAATCTTCAATTATCCAATGGATGATTAAGTGAAATATTTTTTTTAGTAGCAAAATATCATAATGGCCAGTTTTCACTGTACAATTTTATCCAGCAAAACAATTTTTATACTCCATTGCCTAGCAACAACTCATTTTGCAGACTTCACTAAAAACAGCCAACAGCAAATGATTATTCAAAAGTTATGACAGCTTGTAACAAAAACCTTATTGAGCTGGTGGGAAAAAACCATTTTATATGATTGTTCTTGAAGAGAATATCACAATAATAATACAGGTACTCCTCACTTTATGACCGAGTTCCATTCTGACGACTACATCGTTAAGTGAGGAGCTTGCACCAGGAATATAGGATCGTTGTAAAATATGCAACAAACTTCAAATTTATTCATAAAAAGACATGCATATGTACATACAGTAGAGCGTCGATTTTCCGAAAGTCAATCATCTGAAAGAATTCCAGTCGGCAAATTTAAATTTTCGCCAGTGCTGTGGCGCTTCAATCTTTGGCTATGTCTTGGGCTACTCAAATATTTTACGTTTTTGATACTAAATTAACATCTGAAGTATAATTTTTTATTATTTTTATATTTTTCAATATATTTATTTTGTTTGTACAAAATAAAAAAATAATTTTTAACGATACAATAGTCTTTGTTAGGCTTAACATCGACGAAAATTCAACGCGACACACAACAGAGAAAAATGTCAAGATGGAATAAATTAATATATTTTTTCGTACATAAATCGGTTATCCGAAATATCAGTTATCCGGACAACCCCAGTCCCCAATTGATTCGGAAAATCGACACTCTACTGTATTATCATTTGTTTATTTGGTTATCTGGAGCTGTAGAGGTATTTTTTTCTAGGTAAGGGAGATGAAATAGAAGTTCGGAGGTCTTGGATGTAACAGTTGAAAAGAAACTTGTAACGCACTGTAATCTTTTTTTCTTGATAGATTTCTCTATAGCACTTCAAAAGTTCACTCATCCCATGTTCAACTTTATGTTAAAACATTCAGTATTTTGGATCCATAGCTGCATTAATTTTGGAGAACACACCAGCTAACCCATGTACCATGAATTTCTTTTGTCTTCTTCCTCTTCCAAATACTGCATTGCTTCTAACTCTATTAAATCTTCATTTGTTAGCTGTCCATCGGCATAATCCACTAATTCAGCAATGTCTTCCACTTCAACATCTAAATTAAGTGCATTGGCAAGGCCTACAATTGTTTTAATTACATCAAACTGACTAAAAAAAGTGCATAGCAAGACTATACTATGCTCAGTGAGCATGTCACCAATCGCCACTGATCGACACTCAAGCTGAGAAAGGGGATTTTCTGAATTGCAGGTGAAAACTCAGTTGGTTGTTGAGGAGTACCTGTGTAGGACATCAAAACAGATACAGATCACACTAGAATTACCAACAATAAAATTTAATTTCTGTCCATATAACAGACATGATTGAAACATCTATGTAAATCACCCATGGTTGATTAATGACAACCTTAAATCATCATCTAGCTTGCTTTACCAGAAAATGTGCCCTTAAAATGTGCAATTTCTCTGTAATATAAGATATTTTGAATAAATTAATCTAGCTTATTATTATTCATATATAATTTTATTTGAATCAGTATTCCAAATTAAGGGGGACGATAATCAAAGTTTTTACCTTTGATTGTTAAATAGGAATGCAAATTTAAATTTTCATCATTTTATTTGAAAGCTTTCGTAAATAGAATAAACTTCAAGTTATAATTTTAAAAAGTTGGCTTGTGGCTGTCTGATATGGAAATACTGAAAAATACTATTTCATATATACAGTTTGTTATGTTAAGTAAAATTAATTTTTTAAATTGAAAAATGAGTTAGATATATAACTGATCCCATTGCCTAAATGATTTTATAAGTAGATAACTATAATTCTAAAATTTTAAAAATTCAGAATACAGTAGAGCATCAGTTATCCAAATACTGATCAACCGAAAGTGTTTTTGTTTCTAAGAAAAGAGATTAAGAGCTTTCTACTGTGGTTGTGTTTGTGTATTGGTAAATAAATGTTGTCATCTTTATTTTTGTATAGTCACTGTACTGTATTGAACAAAGTGGTTATGTGGCCCGCATTTGTCATTTTCTCAGTTAAATGGCCCAGTATGAAAAGTTTGGTGACCTCCTACTGTAGAGTATCATACAATTTAACAATGGCATCCTCTGCAGAATGTTGGGACATGAAACTATATTGGTCATTGCTCAAACTCTTTCTTTAAAGAAAAAAATGTATGGGGAAAAGCAATTCATGATACAATTACCACTTGATGGAACACACTACGGGCTTATCCCAGGTTACGTACATGATGTCTTATTTACTTTGGGGGAGCTTATTACAAGCCACCACTGGTTTATTGACCTTACATAAACTTCTGATGTCAATAGCATAAATGCTTTTCTTCAGTTTGTGTATACTTTGGGGATTGGTCTCATACTCTTTTCTTTTTAAATATGATGTAAATTTTATCAGGGATATCAGTTGAACATCCTGTATTTCATATGGTTGAAAAATAAATTCTATACTCTCTCTGATGTGTGAGATAGTTTTTGTCATAAATTTTGTATTAATTAAATTTTTCTTGTTATAAGCAACTCCCAAAATGTATATATGCATACTATATAAGAGTTTCTGAATTTAAAATTGTGTTTTATGTTATAGTGATGCCCGAAACATGGCTCGTGATGTACATAACATCCTGGTGGACATCATACAAGAAGGAGGAAAGAAATCAAAAGCCGAGGCAGAAGCATTCGTTAAAAAGATGGAATCACAGAGAAGATATTCGGCAGACGTATGGAGTTGAACATTATAAAAATGCTTAGGTTTTAACAAAATTAAAAAACAAAAAAATACTTCTGCAGCAAACATGTTGGAAGATATATTTGCTAATATTTAACACTGACACAGGCAAGAAAAAAATGCACAAATTTGAAAGTTTTTCATACCTTATATAAAAGAAAACCCTTTCGATTTTTAAAAAAAATTTTTGTTTTGATATATTGTTAACAGTTAAAATATCATTCCATTTTAGAAATGCTGTAATAAGTAATGTTGTTATGAATCTTTGTATCTGAAATAAATTATGTAAACAAAATGGTAAAGGAGATGCAATTGTCATTAAGTTTTGTATTTGAATATGTTAATAAGTATTTTTGATAAAAAATAAAATTTATGAAATGTTCTTTTTAAATTTAATTATTACATTTTTGACTTTTTTAATTGATTGGCTGTATCGGGAGATGAAAGTTCTCTCTTTGTTGGCACTGAACAATTTTCTGTATCTCTTATTCCTGCAGTCTAAATGTAAATTATATCAAAATATTACTTTACTTTTTGTATTAATAATAAGAAAGTGATGCTTACAGTTATTTGAAATTGAATGATGGCTTCTTCTCTCCAAGGTGATTTCAATAATACAGCCCAACGTTTATTTTCTTTCCAATAGAGTATAATGCGAATAGTACACATGTGACCCCAGCTCTCCCCTAGAGAAGGAATCAGATGAGATTTATTTGGGCCAATGATTTTAGTTGTCATTTGATTAGTAACAACAACCTGTAACATAATAAAAAAATTAGTAGGCAGTTTGTAGTAAAATGAGCTAATATATGATATAATTATGTTTTGATGGGAACAGAAATATCGAGTGTAAACTGAAAACTCTACTGAACTAAATTATATTGTTTAAGTAAATCTGTTTTTAATAGAAAAATATCACAATGTCTTATTAATACAGTCGACCCCCTATAAGACAGTAGATACGTTCCATTCTTTAGGAATCCGATTTCTTACGAGTCCTTCCAATCACAGCCCGACACATGTCAAGTTTACGGACTACAGCTGTTTGAAAGGTTTTCTTCCATAAAATTAATCGATTCTAGACTAATCCAACTCAACATTTCCGAAATACGTATATTTTTTTTGGAAATAATCCGTATAAACTATGCTATAAACAAAAAATTGTAGGATTACTTACCGAGTGTGCACCATTCGACATCGCCGTTGCTCAAGCTTGTTTTCGTCACGGAACAGCTCAGCAAACTGCGGCCGCGATTTCTGATGTTATTTTTCTGCGAAAACTTCGCTGAACTTTGGAGACATCATTAATATAAATAATTTTTATGGCCGTTGAATAAGAAATGTTTCTTTCACAAGAA